CAGAGAAGAAAAAGGTCTTACCTCCCTTTTCTATATAATGTTCCTATAGATGCAGCTTTGGGTAACAATATTTTTTATACACAATATGCTGTTGATTTATTACTGTTAGCTGAAAGATTCAACATTTGCTGATGCTAATCCTGTTGGGTATTGGAAAAATTTCAGGACTTCATGCTTATTCCAATTAGTTTCTACTGCATGCATCTCTCCACCCTTTTGATGTTTATTTAGAGCCAGTTCTGGTATACATCATAGGCACAGTCTCCTCCCAGCTTTTGAATATCTGCAAATATGACTATGCTTTTATGTTTTTCCATGTCATTAATACAATAAATACTAAACTTTCAGGATAGGGCTTGGGCCAAAGCCCTGAAGTTCACTGCCAGAAACCTCTCTTAAGGTAGACATTAATGGCTAACTTAATGAAGACTTAACTGGGTACATTCAACAACCATCTACTGATGTGACTCACTTTCCTTTTATGTGTGTGTGTGTGTGTGTGTATTCAATTCATAAGGCTTTAAGAAGATGCCTTGCTGATATCTCCTAGGACTACCTCATTTTCCTAATCTTCAGCATAGTAACTTTCATAAAATCAGGAGACTAGACCGATATGACTTGTTTTCAGTGGGCGCAGTCTGTCTCCTGGTCACCATCACTACCTCCTCTCGGGGCTCACATCCAAGCTTTGGTGTTGCATTCAGGATCTTACCCAGTGACTGGGCAGAAGCATCCTATAGACAAGACGTAGGCTAGGAGAGGGTTCCCTGCTCTGTGCCTCATGTTGCCCTGGGTGAAGCCCTAGTCTTGCTCTGAACGGAAACATCGGTAGAGAACATACTCTAGCTAAAGGCCATAGGAGCCCAATGGTAGATCTGAAGTCTGGATGCATTGGACACCGAGCAGGAGTGAAGGCAGCCTGGCCAGACTCTGAAACTTCCGTCTATATTTTCCAGGCACAGAACTAAGGAATCACAGCTTTACAAAAGCAGTACCTCCAGAGCTATCAGGAGCTTCCTTGGGAGGCCAAGGATGCCACTGAAAAGGGGTGGGATGGAACGGAGGAGAGACAGAGGGCTGTGGATTCCAAATAGCAGAGAGGAAAACTCAAGATCTTCACCAAAAGACACGACTTCCAAATCTCCAACCCTTAAGCTCCCATACCGGCACCAAGACCGTATTCACACCTCCACCAAGGTGGGCACTGCAGTTGAGGAAGCTCCAAAAAATAAAACGACCTCTCGGAGAAGCACTGTAAGACCTTTAAAGAGCTCAGAGTCCCAGAAAAGCCAACAAGAGCCCCCCAACAGAGCAGAGGCAGAGCTAATGGTGAAGAAAAAAATAGTAATACAATATAAGTTTAGTAAGTACGCTTGAAGTGTTAAAGGAGTATTTTTAGAAATACGAAGCAGGAACAAGCATGACGGAGAACCAACCAAAATAGTTGCTTAAAAAATGGTCGCTGAAAGTAAGAACTCAAAATTTGGTTTGAATAACTGAATTGACTCAACCAAAGAACCAGAGGGCTAGGGGATTTTCAAGAAACTCCCCAGAAGATGCCAGAATGGAAGGAAGGGAAGTCAGAAGAAAGAAAACTGGATAATAAGACTAGAAATTTCAATATCCAACTAATTGGAATTCCAAGGTGAAAAGAATTGGGGGTGAAATATACCTACCTAATGACTGAGAAAATCCTAGACCTAAAAAAGGTTTAAGACCTTGGATTAAAAGGGCAAAGGAAGCCAGTTAGGGTCAACAAGAAAACATGCCTTCCATAAGCCACCAAGAGAGCTATGTGATATCTCACTGGCCCCACGTGATGTGAGGATGTGTATCCCTGATTAACTGAGATCAGTCCTATTTCATCTATGAAATTGGTGGACATTTCATAGATGGAGTCTGCTTCCCAGGGGTTCTGCATCTGCTAACTGAAAAAAATCAGGTTTCTGTTAGCAAGGCAGGACCTTAAGTTTCTATGAAATTGATGAGTGGCTATTGAGCAATGAATAATGTCCGCTAGAGGTATTAATTGTAAAAAAAAATTAGGATAATTTGTCTGTTCAAATTATCAATTTTTAAATTATTTTCACATAGATCATGAACTAAAACTCCAGATGATAAGAACATAGTAAAGATAAGGGGGAAGAGAAAGAAAATGTAGTAATATGTGCATCAGCAAAATATTTCAAATACTAATTAGCTTTAGATAGTATCCTAGTTTTCTATTCTGCATTAACAACTCACCACAAACTAATTGGCTAAAAACAGCAGGTCAGAAGCACAGGCAGGGCTCAGCTGCGTTCTCAGGGTCTCACGAGGTCTCACAGGCAGTTGGCCAAGCTGGATTCTCAACTGGAGGCTTGTCATTGGCAGAATTACTTTCCCTACAGCTGTAAAATTCATGGTCACTTGCTTCTTCGAAGCCAACTATGGAAAGAGAAAATCTCTGCTTCTGGTCCCTGACCTCCAGATGTTCTTTGCTAGGGGTCACCTGATTCGGTTGGACCCACCCAGGATAATCTCCCTTTTGATGAACTCAAAGCCAACTGATTAAGGACTTCAATACAGCTGTTACATCCCTTGCAGAATCATGGTAATTGAAACAGTATGGTTTTGTTATAGGAACATTCCAAGAAAGAAACTGAACGTGATAGGCTAAGTCATTCATGCATATTTGGGAACATGATATATGACAGAGCCTGCATCACAATCATAGGATAATAAAGAACTAATTTTAAAAAGGTGTTAGACTATTTGTATCATCACATGGGAACAAACATTTGGAAGAATGTGTAAGTAAGTGATCAAGTAGAGGGAGAGAGTCAATCTAGATTAAATCCTTAAATATGAAGCCAACTATAAAGCTAATAGAAGGGAAAAAAAGATGTCTTTTTGACCTCAGAAGAACTCTAAAAGCACATACTGGGCGAGGAAATACTGGTCGGTTTGACTCTACCTACCAAAGTTAAAATTTGTGTTTAGTCACTAAATCAAATTAGATGAGAACAGACACAAAAATTGTAAGTAAAACTAATATGGTATATACAATAATATTATACAGTAATTATTAAAACTAATATACAGTATACATAAGACTTTTTTCAGAATCAGCAATATAAGAAACCCACTAGGAAAATGTACAGAAATATGCAATTTAAAGAATGGAACGATGACAAAGATGAGATGTTAACATATGAATCTCTGATTATTAAAGAGGATAAGACATCAATGAAATAATATGTTCTACTCATGAGACTGACAAAAATCACAAATTAGGAAGTGACAGAGCAAGTATTCAAAGCATGTTCCTTTCATTCCAAAGCCCAATATGTGCCCACAGTAATATGAAGTCTAGGAAGGAAAACTGGATTTTTTCCAGCACGATGAGCAGAATTCAGTTCTCCACAGAGGGTCCAGGAGTGGGGCAAGGCATTTGCAGTGGGCACAAAATTTAAGAGGGTGCCAAAAATTAGTAATCAAGACAATTATTTTAATGAAGAATTTTTTTAAAACCACAGTTATGGGAAAGTGTCTTTGATGAACAGAATATCAAAATCTAAGTAAAAGCAATCCAATAATACATCACTGAGACTGAGGCAAAAGAAAAATATATATATGTATGTCCTTATAAATTTTTTTAGTGGTTCTTTTTTCCAGAACATTAAAGTAGTTGAAAAACTATTGAAAAATCAAGAAACCAGTGTATTAAAACTCACATTGTTTTGTGTTTAAATATGTATTTATACCTAATACAGAGATTATTTTAATTTTACTCTCCTAGTTTTGACAGAAGCAAACTCATCAGTACTATTCTAAACCAAAAACAAGAGAGGCCAAGAAGCTAATTTTGAAAATTTGTGACTGGCTCTGGGAGGATGCAGCCACCCTGGGGAGAAGGCACTGCTTGGACATTGGTTCTAATCTGCACTGGTTCAGCTTCCATTTGAAATGAGGAATCCAGGCCTATCTCACTGCATTTTTTACAAATTGAAGGTTGTGGTAACCTTGCATCGAGCAAATCTGTTGTACGCCATTTTCTCACTTCTTATCTCTCTAATTCTCACAATATTTTGAAGTTTTTCATTTTTATTATATGTGTTATGGTGATCTTTGATTCGTGATTACAGCTCACTGAAAGCTCTGGTGATGGTAGCAGTTCTTTAGCAAAAAATATTTTTAAATTAAGTCATGTCCATTGCTTTTTAGACATAATGCTATTGCCACACTTAATGGACTACAGTATAGTGTAAATATTACTTCTTTCTGCACTGGGGAACCAAAGAACTCATTCAACCCACTTGACTGCAATATACCTGTCTCACTGGGGGGTTTAAACCCCAAGCAAGTTGACTCTGGAAAGAAAAATGACAATGGAACATTGAGGGAAAACGATTTTTACCCAGCTTTATTCTCTGGTGGCAGGTCAAGTGCTAGAATCCCGTCCACCTCTGGGTCAATCTGCATGCAGCAAGCCCCTCTCCCCTCTGCCTCTGTTCCAGCCTCTGTCCTGAGCACCAGGCAGAGCTCTTTATATAGCAACACAGACAATTATGGCTCTTTGCCGGCAAGTATGCGAGCATGCATCTGTGAGCATTGCACGTGTGCAGTGAGCAAGCAGATCGGGGTCAGGTGAGGATCCTGGCTGTGGAACTCTCATTATCCTTACATGCCCTTGCTTGCAGTGGTCTGGAACTGACCAGCAGTATCTCCGAGGTATGTCTGTACCTCCTTTTGGTACCTCTGGGGACCTTATCAGGGAAACAGATCCCTCCTCAGTGGCTCCTTAAATAGTTTTGCAGACTCTAAAGCTCCACACAGGTGTGCCTCCTTGCTCATGAACTGTGCAGTCCCTGCCCATCCACAAATCAGCATTTGCTTGCAAAGTCTTTTTCCTTATTTGACTAGGGAATAAGATTCAGACTGCTCAATCTGGGGCCACAACAACTTCTGAAACAGCCTTTGTGATTTGTTTAAATCATCTAGTTAGAACATCACATTACCTTACAGCGGGCTATTGACAGCAGACAGATTTTCTCATCTAGTTGTAGTAAAGCAGTCTTTATGTCCATCTCTTCGGCATCCACCATAGGCTGACTCCCTGAGCAAGGAAGACATTACAATTAAAAAATAAAAATCTAGGTGTTGGCCCAGTGTCTTTGGATAAAGATTTTAAAAATCATTCAACCTGTAAATTTTCCAATTGCTTTTAAGACAAAAATGGACCTGAGCTGGATTATGATCCCTCATCTCTCTTACTCATTTAAGTTCTATCCCTTCAAATTCTGGTGATTTGTCTGTCACGAGATTGTCTGCTTATTGGAGCAGCAAGGAACTATGGTAATAGGTCTCAAACTTTAGACACCACCAGAATTATGTGGAACGCTTATTAAACTCAGATTGCTGGGCTTCAACCCCAGAGTTTCTGATTCAGTAGGTCTGGGGTACTGTCAGAGAAATTGTATTTATAACAGAGTGCCAGAAACAATTGATGCTGCAGGTCCAGGACCCACACTTTGAGAAGCATTAAACTAGAGTAATGTGTGTAAATAGAAATATCTTGCTAAACAGTAAGATTCATTAGAGAAATACTGAGTATACCTGTTCTGTGTCACAGCTAAGTGGACACTTGTAATGGAATAAACCAAAAATGCACATGCAGACCACATCCTGGGCTGGTTGTTTGGAGTTGTGCTCTCCATTCTTGATGTGCACTCAGTCACCTGAGGACCTTGTTAAAACACAGATTCTGATCCAGCAGATGTGAGGGAAGGCCCTGGGGTTTTCATTTCTCCCCTGTGATAGTGCCATTCCACAGACCACACCTTACGTAGCAAGAAGCTAAAATAAACCCCATTTGATGCATCTTTTCATGAAGGTACTTGCAATTCATTCAAAGTAGAAGGCTTTTGCTCCTGTGAACAACTTGTAGAAAATACTTTCGATTCAGAAACGGGGTTTGTCACTAAAGTTGTGTTAATTAAAAAATAAATGTTTATTTTATGGCTTCTATGTAAGCACATCCTTAGAACTGTACGAGGTCAGGGTGTGCATATTCCCTCCAGTGAAGAAGTTGCAGGGAAACGTATAGGGTGTGGGGTAGATAGTACGAGATGCAGTCCCACAGTTGTTTGCCTCAGCATCTCCTCTATCTCTGTTCTGATCTTGAGCACCATCAGCTGTCTCAAGAGTTAATACTTCCAAGAAGGATGGCTTTCATTGGACAGTATTGCCGCTATGCAGTACAAAGCAATCTTATTGGAAGAGTTCACCCCAAGCAACAGAAAAGGCACTGTTGCCTTCGGCTGGTACATCACGTGTGGCCAATACAATGTAATTCATGTAGGCTGCCAAGGCCACCTCCTTCCAGCATCACCAAGCATTTTTACAGCTTGTTTTGTCTAGCACAGTCCCAAATATCCATATATTGGAGCTAAAGTAACCAACCCTTCTGATTCACTGGGAGCTCTCTGGTGTTTGGCACTGAAATTTTTTCCAGGGAAACCTATCCATCCAGGTAAACAGGAATATTAGGTCACCGTATATGGCAGCACATGTTGTTCCACTGAAATTCTGCTCAGTTCACACCAGTGTGGTAAGAGGGAATTCAGTTTGCACCTCTCATCCTCACCTGTGGTGGGATATTCTCTTTTTAAAATATTTTCATTTTAAAATAGATATTTTATTTAAAATACAATAGATATTAAGAGTAATATCTATTTTAAGATAATGTTATCATTTGATTTTCAAGTTTTACTTATTGCCCTAATTTAACATATAGGAAAGTGCAAATATACGTACAGCTCAATGACTTCTCACAAAACATATTCTATTGTGTAACCATCATTTAGATTAATAAACAAAATGTTACCTGCACCCTAAAAGTCACCCCATGCTCCCTTTCAATCATTATTCTCCCCCAAGAGTAATAACAGGTATGTATTTTTCAATAGCTTAGTAAATTATTACAAGGCAAACACCCTTGTAACCATAACCCAGGTCAATAAATAGAATGTTTCCACTCATAGGAGAAGTCTCACTGTGTGCTACATCCCAATAGCAATCTGTAGCTCCCAGCTCCAGGCAAGTTCACTCTGGATTCAGTGAGACTGAATAATGGCAAAGAAACATTTGTCGGGGGAAAAGGTCTTATACCAAGACTTATTCTCATGATGGCAGGTAGAACACTAGAATCATATCTGCCTCCAGCAAGTCTGTGGCTCCCCTCAACCTCCATCTCCACTAGTGGGAGGAGCATTAGGTGGACTGCTTTATACAGCAACACAGAGAGTTATAGCTCATTTCCAACAGGTGTGCAAGCATGCACCTGCAACACTGAAATCTGTTGTTGAAAGGGATTAGACTGCTCAAGGAATCAAGAATGTTCAATGTAGCCTTTTTCCCTGCTTCATGTAATTGGCAAACAAACAGAGGTGACATTTTTTATTAGCACTGAATTCCTCTTAAAGAAAAAGCAAGGATTCTTTGATACAAGCAGGAGAGTTGTGGAGTTCTAAGCAGAAGTAACCCTGTAAAGCTCTCCATTTTGCATGCTTGAGAGACGTCACTGAACTGGATAAGCCTTTAGTTCCTTCTTCCAATTCTCAAGCTCTCACACAAGCCACGGACAGTGAGACAGCAAGAGACGATGCTGCCAAGTAAGGTCTGCCACCTGGGAGCTGCCGGCCTCCACCCTTCAGCTGGGGTCCAGAACACCCACAAGGACCTCAGCTGCACCCTGCTGGGTCCTTCTGAGGCCACCCTTCTCTGTGATGTCCTCACAAGTTTAAATGAAAGCAGCAGAACTCCAGTGGAGCATAATAAAACATAGATTTAGAAACATATTGGGGTAAATAAAACACTAGCAGGCTCCTGAGAGAGAGAAGAAGAAGGAACAGTAGGGGGTATTTATTTTTTTTCTGCAGAGCCAGGGTTGAGATGGGCATGAAAATCCCCATGGAATTCAGATAACTCCTCTTGCGTGTGGGATTTCATGGGAACGTTCCCAGAGCTGTTAGGGTTCTATCCAGATGATGAACTAGCTAATAAATTAAAATGGTAAAAAGAAAGAAAAAAGAGCCCCGGTCTCTGGGTACAGTTGATTGCTACCATTTTGTAAAGACAGCCGCAGCTGCAGGATGCAATAGCCAAGACGAGAGCCAGAGCTGCAGCAATGCTATTCTCAGAGGTCTGCATCTGCTTGTCCCTTCAGCTGCTGTGTGATCTCCCTGAGACAGGAACATAAATAAATGTTGCCTCAGACAGCATCGAATACAAAAGCTGTATATTTGAAATTAATTGTTTTCTGGCAAAATTCCATAAAAAATATCATGCTTTCAGTTGAAGCACTTCTATGTAAAGCCAATTAAGCAAGGTAAGCAACAAATGGCCTGAGGTCAATAAGGATGTTGGATATGGTTCAGCGATGAGACAGGCTGTGCTGGTCACCATCTGTGGAAGCAAATTCAGACACCATTTCTAAAGAAGGGTGTCAGGACATATTGGAAGCAAGATAACATATAGAAAGAAACCGGACCTGCAGAAAACCTTCCTTTTCTTGTATTCTGTCTTCTTTCTTCATCAGCATCACCTCCATTCTACCAAATTCCATTCCTGAGGAAGACCCAGCCATCTGACAAATAGATATACCTTGGCGTGAGGGTACGTTGGGGTGCTTCTGCCCAGGGACATACATCTATCACTAAGCCACACATGATGGTAACAGCTGAATTTGCATAGCATAGAATTCATTCACTTTAAATGTGCAATTCAACCATTGTGACATCACCACAGTCTAGTTTTAGAACATTTCCGCCACCCCCAAAAGATCCCTCTTGTCCATTTGCACTTAGTCAATCCCAGTTCCCATCCCCAGCACCAGGCAACCACTAAAATAATCCCTGTATCAGGGATAGATACATGAAATTTGGGTATTGCATACGAATGGAATCATGCAGGGAAGGAAGACAATTAACATAAATATCCAGTATGCCAGGTAAGAAAAATCAAACATATAAAGGAATTCTCCTCTCTTCCCTCCAAGGACTGTAACAGATTTTATTTTTCACATTTAAACCTTTCATCCATTTTAAATTGATCCAGAATAAAGTTTCAACTATTTTTTTTTCCAGATGTACCCCAACTGTTGCAATTCCATTTTTTAAATAGCCCATTCATTCTCCTGGTTGAGATGTTTTCTGAATTGGATAGTAAATTCCTGTGAGTTTTTTGCCTTTGGTCTCCCATTGTGGTCTACGTTTTTTCTGTTCCATCTATCACATCATGTGCCATTACCACACCTTTAAATTTGTTCTCGTATTTGATAGTACTAGTCTCTACTCTTTGTTCTTGTCTGTGAAAAAATGTCCTCATCATTTTTGTTTGCCAGCTTTTTCCCAATACATTTTATCTGTGGTGGGAAAGACCTTTATAACTCCATCTCAAAGTGAAGAAACTATTAAAAAGATTGATACATTTGTTTATACAGCAGTAAGTTCTTCTAAACAAGAACTAAAAGAAACAAAACCCTATAAGCATCATTAAAACACAAATAACAAACTGAAGATTAAATATTTGTAACTCGTACAACTCCTATTATAGATAATGGGTTAATCTCCCTAATGTCAAAGGAGTTCCTAGAACTAAAATGACCAAGTGAAATAGGTAAAATATATGAATAATTCACAAAGGCTGCTAATAACCCAAGTTAAATAGTCTCACCCTCAGTCTTGCTCTGTTCTTTCTTTCTTGTCTGGAAGTGGCCCTAACAGTGAGATCAGTAAACAAACTCAACATGCTTTAGGGGAACCCTTGTTTCCCCAGATTAAAATTGGGCTTGGAAGGATGATACTGTGTTAGGGAAGGGAGAAAAAAGACAATTCCTGTACTCAAGGAGCTCTTAGTAATTATTGAAGCCCACGTACAAAGACCACCAGAGAAACCCTCCAAGCACTTAAGGTATCAGTAGTGTGTCAAATGGGAAATTAGGAAAGGGGATTTGTAGACTGGTTTTAGGACAGTTAATCAAGGCCTAAGGAAAGACTGATGAGAACTTGTAAATTGGATGAACTGCTAGAACAGTCAGTGATCTTATCCTTGGAA